AGAGAATGCCACACTTGGGAACACTTTAGACTTAGAGCAAGAAAAGACATGTCTCTCAAGAGAAAGACTTCCCAAATTAAAACAGTGCATCAGCATTGTGAGACCCATTGAGCAGGTAGAGACAAAGCTGTTTCACAGCCTGCTAGGAATAAGAGCCCTGATTAAAGGTCAGGCCATGCTTCAAGTTTTGGTTCCTTCTGCTATTCTTCCTTTACCATTCATCTTATGAACTTGTCTAACCTACCTTCCTTCCTTCCTTCCTTCCTTCCTTCCTTCCTTCCTTCCTTCCTTCCTTCCTTCCTTTTTTCCTTCCTTCCTTCTTTCCCTCTCTTTCCTTCTCTCTTTTCCTCTTCTTCCTTGCACCCTCCTCCCCTCCCTTCTTTTTGGTTTAAGTTGTGCAGTTCTCCCAATGTAATGTCACTTGACATAATAGCCACATTGCTTCCTTCTAGTGGGGATAGCTCTCTGCTCCATACAAGAGCCCAAACCTGTAGCCATGGTCTAATTATTAGTATCCTGCTCTCACTGAGTCAACTAGCTGGGAAATGCTCTTCTTCATTTGCAAAGTGTAATCACTAGTGAGGGAACTTTGAGAGTTTCTGGAGCAGTTGTTTAGGGAAAATTCTAATTCTAAAACAAATAGCAGGAAGCAGGATGATGACTACATATGCCAGATGTGAAGCCAAAAAGGCAGGCCCAATGTGATCTAAAATTTAGAAATAAGTGCCACGAAGGAAAATTCCAGAAGAAAAGGGCATGTATTTCTAAGCTGAAGGTTTTTATGAAAAATGTTCTTTTTATCCATGGGGACAGCATATGGATGTAATATTAAGCTGGAGTCGGGGATCTCTAAATTAGATATAACCAAGATCTCTTGGTGGAAGATGGTCAAGTACTTGGGACAATCCAAAATGGATAATATCTTTAGAGAATGATTTGCCTAGAAGGGTAGACTAACTTACTTTTGGATCTATAAGCCCATGTGCACTTATTAAAACACCAAACATATCCATTACTAATCGGCCTAGCTCGTGGTGGGCAAAATTTGGCTCGCGAGCCACATGCAGCTCTTTGGCCCCCTTGAGTGTGGCTCTTCCACAAAATACCACGGCCTGGGCGAGTCTATTTTGAAGAAGTAGTATTAGAAGAAGTTTAAGTTTAAAAAATGTGGCTCTCAAAAGAAATTTCAACCGCTGTGCTGTTGATATTTGGCTCTGTGGACTAATGAGTTTGCCGACCCCTGGCCTAGGCAGTTCCATTGTGTGGAAGAGAAGAGTTCCTCCCAGCATCGCCGCTCAGAGTGAGAGCCTAGCTCAGAGTGAGAGTGGAGTAACCCTCGGACATGAGTCTTCCTTCTTCTCTGAAGACCAGAGACACCATCTGTCGGGCCTGCTCTTTAATATTTGTTGAGGGTCCACAATGTGTCAAGTTTTGTACAGAGCAGGTGTCAAGACCTCAGCTTACTAAAATGTTAGAAAGATACGTATAATATTTAGATAGATTAGCTGACTAAGCAGGATAAGGACTCAGCATAATCACAGTCCTGAATTTGAAAGCGTGAGAGATCTTGAAGGTCATTGGCCTCGCCTGTTACTCCCAGGGAAATAATCCTTACTAATCTGAAGTCTTACTAACCTGGAATCAAGGCCAGCTCTCTCACTGTATATTAAGGATGTAAGACTAGTGTCCTTATAAGAAGAGACAAAAGAGAGATGATCTCTCTCTAGAAAGAAAGCAGCCATTGCCCAACCAGGAAGAGAGCTCTCACCAGAAGCTGCCTCAGAACTGTGAGCATAAGTGGTGGTTGTTCAGGTTGCTCTCTATGGTATTTTGTTATGGCAGCCTGAGCTGACTAAGACAACATCCTCTTTGAGCCTAATCCTTCCCGTTTGTAAAAATAAGAGGTTCCTATAGAGCTGCTGTGATGATCATAATAAGTGTGAAGGACCTTTCACAGTGTCTCATCTCAGTCTGCATGGTTATAGATAAGGAAACTGAGGCTCAGAGAGATTAGGTGACTTGCCCAAGATCACAGAGCTAGGATATTTAACAATAAAAAACTCCCACTGATGTGGTCAAATCTTCTTCTTACAGAAATAGGGTGAAATGAGACTATTGGGGGTAGGGGGTAAGTGATATGATCAATGTCACACCTGCTGCTTGATTAAAATATTCAGCTGACTTACCTATAAAATAATCACAGGTTTCTAGAAAGAGTTTAAGGGATATGTTTGGAAAATAATAAAGGAACCAACAATAAGACAAGATGACTAAGAGAAGTAAGACCCTAAATTTGACATTAAAATGTAATCATTCAAATCTATTCCTTCTACACTAAAGGAAATTAATTTTATAGCGGCTGTATGGTTTAGGAGATATAATTTTCTTTTGTTTGTTTCTTCTTCTTTTATTTGAAACATTTTGAAAATACAGAAAAGTATAGAGATAGATATTAAAAACTACCATGGACACATGTTAATCTTTTGTCATCTTTGTTCCATATATATATATATTTCCAAGGCTCATAAATATAAGGAACCATGTTACAGAGTCCAATATCTTTAATCACAAGAATTCCACAAGGATGAATGGGGGTGTACTGTGAGGCTCTAATGTTAGATAATACAGGATATATATCATATATAAAATATATATGTATCTTAAGCAAAGAAGACAAAAACATACATTTTTAATATTTAAAAAATGTAGTACAGCCAAAACCGGTTTTCACTCAGTGAATAGAGCGTCAGCCTGCTGACTGAAGGGTCCCAGGTTCGAATCTGGTCAAGGGCATGTATCTTGATGTGGGCACATCCCCAGTAGGGGTGTGCAGAAGGCAGCTGGTCGATGTTTCTCTCTCATCAATGTTTCTAGCTCTCTATCCCTCTCTCCCTTCTTCTCTGTAAAAAATCAATAAAATACATTTTTAAAAAATGTAGTACATTTAATATGTTTATAATTATTTATAACTTAAATTTTTTAAAAATGATTTATATATTTATATATGCATTTAAATAAAATAAACATCACATTAGGTACAATAGATGTCTTCTCTATATTCCTTTTTTGCCCATTCCCAGAAGCAAACATGCTCATGAATTTAACCTAGACCCTTATGTCCACTAAATATATTTATTTGCTTGCTTATTATATCCATAAAATATATTTTTATTATCAAAAATATCAATTAAAATTAATTGGATCTTAACACAGTTGTAAACATGACTGCCCTGAGATGATAAAAAGATTTGTTTGCTGAGAGGCAATTTTATCAGCTTCAAACCTTTAAACTAGATTCCTGGAAAGAGAGGCCTCAGATGTCTTGAGGCTACAAACTCTGCTGTAGTTTATTATTTTACTAGAAAATTACTAGAAATTACTACAAACTCTGCTGCAGTTTATTATCTTACTAGAGGCTTGGTGCACGAATTCGTGAATGGGTGGGATTCCTCAGCCTGGCCAGCCATAGACTCAGGTAACCAGGGCCGGCTGAGGCTTGTGCTGCCAGCAGTGGCAGCAGCAGAGGTGTGATCGGGTATCGCCTTCCCCTGATCGCCGGGTTGCCTCCCATGCCTGTGAGAGGGGTCAGGCCAGGCTGAGGGACCCCCCCTCACTCCAGTTCATGAATTTTCATGTACCTTCTGCATAGAGATGTTGTGAAAACGATATGTCCCATGGAAAGCATTAGGAACGGTGCCCAAAGTGTGTGGGAAGAGTTGACAACCTGGGATGTGGAGAGGCCACAAACTTTGGAACTTCCCTGTCATCTGGATCCTCTGTAGCTCCTTCCCAGCTATGTGGGTTATGAGTATGGCAGGTGCTTGGTGCCATGCCCTAAGAACGTGCCCAATCAACAGTACCTGTTGTAAGTATTTCAAATAAATAATACCTTAGTATTCCTAAAGCACACCCTGTTTTTAAATGCAGAAGCAAGCTCACAATTTCCTCACAGCAAGAAGTCAAGGGGAGCAGGAGGAAGGATTTAATTGCATTGATTAGTTTATCCAGAAGCCATTTATCTATGTTTAGGACTGTACATGCTGCTGTGTTTAGTCACAGCTCTGCATAATTATAAGGAGACCCAAAAAGTGGGATATTTTTCTTTGGAAAGGATGGCTAAGCTCCTTTTGAAATTCTTACTGCCAAGATAAAAAGGAGACCTGGAAGATGCTCTTAAAAATAGACCAATGAATTACGGTAACAAGTGCTTTGTCGTCTCAAAGCGCTTCCACACGTGATATCAACTCCTCACACCCTCACAGCAGCCCTGTGGGGACGGTGGTGTCATTCCCATTTGTCAGAGGAGGGAAGGGAGGCACAGAGAATCTCAGTGACTTGCTGAAAGTTCCTCTATTAGAAAGAGGAGAAACCAGCTCTTTGCTGCTTCAAGTTCAGAATTTTTATTACCCACGTATGGCCCGTGGAATGTTCCTGGCTGGCATGCACTTGCTGCATTGTGGGGACTATTTCATTTCTCCAAATTGTTACCTTATTTGTTTTAGTTTAGCTCTAAATCCACTCTGTTACGTCATATGTGCAGTGTGTGTGTGTGTGTGTGTGTGTGTGTGTGTGTGTGTGTGTGTTTGTGTGAATGCATACACATACACACATCCATACACACAATAGGGGACAACTGGGTGTGTTTTTTTTTTTACATTTTATTTCAGTTTTACATTTTATTTCTTTAAAAGATGAAAATCTTAGATTGAAATCGAAGACTTGTGTGATTCAACCAAATTTTGAGTTTGCTAAGGGCATTTTTGGACTGAAGCCTGAGAAGTAATTCAGTCCCAACAGAGGGGAAACGATTCTTTTCCACTTTAAATGAACCATCTCCCCCCTTGAAAACATGATGTATTTTTTTTTTTCACAAAAGAAGAGCAAAGAATTTTTACCATCTTCAGCTGTCCAACTTACCTCCCATATTTCTGCCCTGCAGCAAAAGGAAGGGACATCAGGTGACAGACCCCAAATTTCCACTAGTCACACAAATTACCCACCTTCCTCTCCATAGATGGTCTTTTGCCTTTCCCCTGCAATGAACAATGAGACTCGGTTTAAATCAAAATGACACTCATCAGCAATTTTACAAAACAAATAGAAGGCACAGCCTCCCTTCCCTCCCCCCACGCCACAGCTTGCCCTGCTAGGCCAGCCTGTTCCTTTTCTGTGCAGGCCGGAGCTAATCACCAGCCTCCTTTCCCACCCCAGACCATGATGCTCAGCCTGCCAGTGGCTCTGTTTACTTAGAAGAAAGAGTCTGACAAAGTAAATGTTTACAAAAACAACAATACCCAGATGCCACGCCCCCCTTCTGGGGGACCCGTGGAGCAATATTTACAAGAAAGGGCTTCTCGGTGTGGCACCGCACTGCCCAGTGGTGGGCACGGATCCCAGGTCTGTCTCAGCTCTGTCTCGAGGCCAGCCATATCACAGACTCTCTCTTGGCCTTCTAACTTCCACAGAGTGTATGAATAATTACATTTACTGCCGAAAAGCGTCAGTTAAAAGAGTACCAATCTGGGACACAGGAAGGAATCTTTAACTATGACTGCTTCTAGCAGGAGGGAAAATGCTTCGTGAGGTCGATAGGAAATTAGAGGCAGGCTTAATTAGTACTTAGAAAATGTCATTCTTTTTTTTTTTAATGTTTAAGCGTTTAATTCTTTTAGCTTAACGCTGCAAACCTAGTCATCGTTGTATTGCCCGTCGATCTGTTATCTGCGAAACGGTGGGACCGGGGAGCTAGCACACGGTGAGAACCGGAACAGGTGCCCGCTTGTTCCCATTACACACATTAGCCCGTGGCCTTCGCACAGCCTGTTAAACAGCTGACTCTGAAACAACAATGGTGCAGGCCAAACGCTAGCCTGGGGGCCTGTCTGTCTTGGGATTTGGCCATTTACATTGATTTTTTTTTTTTTTTAACTGACAGTTTTCATGAAACACAAATATTTGCCATGGCAACTGGAGTGTCACATGACATGCTGCTACATAAACAGCTTGGAAACCTAAGAGGAAACAGCCGTGCAGAAGTGCAAATACAGTGAAAACATCTTGAGAAGGATCCGGGCTTTAAGGTCTGGGAAGAGCAGGTAACAGTCTACAATGTAGACACAGTAGGATTAATTTTTTTATGACATTTTGATTTCTCTCTTTTCTTTTCTTTCTTTTTTCTTTTCTTTCTTTCTTTTTTTTTTCTTTTTTTTTTTTTTTTAATGGGAGCAGCTGTAAACATGACCACATTGGTAAGGCCAGAAAAAGACACTGCCAGCTGTCTCCTTTCTATGGTGAAAAGTCTCAATTATCATAGGTCTGTCTGAGGTCATCAACATAAGAAGGCAAGCTACAAAAGCCCAGCACCTTTAGGCCAAGAGACTCTCCATGAGGATGAATATGTTTGTACTGTGAGGTCCCAGTGTCAGAAAATATAAAATTCCTTCCTCAGTAAGGCGCCCGTGCAAAATTGGAGAACTTGTTTTTTTATCCTTGGCTTCAAGGCCAGTGAAAGACAGCAAGACCTCACAATGACATACACTACGCAGCACAAATTTGGGTATAAAGCAATAGCTGTTGTGTTCTGACTCCAGGACTCTCATCAGCTAGCTAGGTTGACCCAATCGTTTAATCTCTCAATAATTTGACACAACTGATCGTGTCACAGCAGAGTTTCTTGTATAACAATCTCTGCTTTTAAACATCAAATGCATCCCAGAAACAACTGAAACAGTACTTATTTCTACGTGAAAGGTATAATTCTATAAGATATATGATTACTATAAATCTCACTGAGAATATTATAAAGAAGAACAATTTTCTTTCATTCGCTAGGAATATGAATACCTTTGCTTTTGGTTTCTTGGGGGAGGTCTTCCTCGCTGCTTTTGGAGTCGGCTTTGGTTTTTGAGTTGCAGGCAAGGGGGCTATGGATGGAGCCAGCACCAAGTTAACTGTTTCAGAAAGAGAGGCCAAGTCATTGGGTTAACGCTATTGAGTTTGCACCTTGAAAGTAAAATGGTTCTATCACCCATTGACTGTTCACTGTCAGCCTTTCCAATATCAATTCAATGAAACATTTGTGATCATTGACTTCAAAAGGAAAGCAAGAAGCATGGGATAATAGCAATTCCATCAGAGTACAAGGTCAGCTCGCCTTCTGCAAAGTGCCTAGGTGAGAAGGCACATTTTAAAAGCAGGCAAATTAGAGAGTACTTGTTGTTTTATAAAATGTTTCCCTGAAAGATTTCTTTAAGTAGCCAAGTTCATTTAAAAGGTAAATTATTATAATTACATATGATGGACTATTCTATTGTGTAGTTGTTAAAAAAAATGATTCTAGAGACTTTAAATGGCTTGGGGAAATAATGCAAGAGAAAAATACAATAAATATTATGTTTTGAAATTCATTAAGTCTAGAAGCAACAACTTTTGGAGAACACATCTAGTCCATAGCTTCTAGCTCATGTGTAGCATGTAGGCCCACATACTAGTCAATTCTTGGGAGAGAAATCATATCCCTCCTATTGTTTGCAGCAAACCCATCATCTATCCTTTATAAACAGCCTGACAGTCTCAGGAGAGAAAAATCATTACACTACTCTTTCCAAGAAAAAAGAACAAATAATTTATTTAAGTAGTTGGTTGAGTCAAATAAATGAGGCTTCCTTCAACGCACTTCCTTAGTCCACCCCTTTTCTGTCAATTTTTAGCAATAATCTTAGGAAGACTTGACCGTTGTTAATCAAATATAGCACAACAGTGTACAATTCAGAACCCCACACCTTGAGAACTCAGTTCTCTCACATTGCCTCAAGTGGGGTGAAAGGAATATCCTCAGCTATCTCTTAAAAATTAGCAGCAATCCAGACTCTCATCAGTAAAAACCAACTCCACAAAGGTGATTTGTTTGTTGCATTGGACTAACCCAAGTTTACTCCTTTCCTGGTTTCCCTGGCTTCTGGTGAGCCTTCCTGACTGTGAGGAGTCTGGGCACTTGGCTGTAGTGTATGAAGACTCCATCTTAAGCCTATAAGTTTGAGCCTGGACCTCTGAGCTCTTCTGCCCTGTGGTTCACTTGGACTAGGCCTTCCCTCCTCTGAAAGCCGGTCTACACCCAGACTGCTTTGAATCCAGAGAGGTACCCTTTTATAAGGTTTGTTATTCCTATATTTGCAGTCTCAGTTCACGTTTTTTTGTTGTTTATCTTCACTCAAGAATTTTTACTTTGATTTTTAAAAGAGAGTGAAAGGGAGAGAAAGAGAAATTACGATGTAAGAGAGACATCATTTAGTTGTCTCCCATGCTGCCATGATCAGGGCCAGGAATTGAACCCGAGACACTTCAACCCATGGACCGATGCTCTTTTCACTGAGCAAAACCTGCTAGGGCTCAGTTCACTTTTTAATTTTCAGGTTCTTGCAGCCATGTGAAATTTAAGTTCCCCTATTGAGACTAAGTAGCAGCTAACAAATTTTCAAGTGGACATAAGTTAAAAAGTAAGATGTTAACAAAATTTGGTAGGATAAAAATCTAAAAATATTTGTAATTACACATGGGTAATAATATCTCTACAAAACTCTTAAAGTTTTTCTTAGTCACCTGCAGAAATCCTGTCACTAAATTATAACTTCAGGTAGCCTTGGATTGTATGGGACACATGCAATTGAAGAATGTGTCTGTATTTTCAGCAAAACAGTACCTAAGGCATCTCAAATTCTGCTATTCAATTTCCCTCTGGAAAAGTCTATGATAAATTTTGCCAGTGTTACTGTCAGGAGGAAAAATGCTAGTCTTTCTGGTAAAACTGGTATGTCTCTGTGGCTGTTAGAGAAATGTGTCTGTCGAGTAGCCACCCCTTTCTTTGAAGGTTTTAGAACCCCACTTTTTTCAGGGTAATGATATGCCCAGCACATAGGATTAGCTGTTGAGCAAAACAAACAAACAAACAAACAAATCATTTTTTCAAGGACACATAGTTAAATTCTTAATAGCATTTTACTATAAGTATGACCTGATATGAAATATGGTCATTTTTTTAACAAAGAACAGAATTTTCATGAATGGCTTAGACCAAGTATAACTTATACTTATTTTATATAGTGTAAGTAGGTCCCAAATCCTAATCCTAACCCTGTCCCTGGATATTCATTTTTCTAGCCTTTCCTGTAGCTAACAGTGGCCATGTGACCAGTGAGTTGTAAGGGGAGGTCCATCTAGGGGTATCTACTGTTTTCCCCTCTTTCTGCCGGCATTGTGTACATTGAGGCCCAGATCTGCAAGAGCCCCTAAAGCCAAGAGGTAGCAAACATGAGGATGAACTCTAACAGGCTCAAGACTTCGAAGCAGAAAGACAGCCCTTAACAACTGTGTTGATCAAGCACCACCAGCCCTAGATTACCTCCTTCCTGACTTGTTACGTGGGAGACAAATGAACCTCATTATTTTAAGCCACCAGTAGTTATGGTTGCTGTTATATGCAGACACATGCATTACTGACTGGCACCCCTCCCTCTTTATCTTATTGCATGTGCTGGGGCCTCAAGGACAGTGTTCAATAGTGGTGGCAGTAATGGTCTGCTGGGAACCAATTCCAGCATGTCATAATTACAAGAGCTTCACCAAAAGGTTGGTGAAGCTTGGGCAGCTTTCCAATAACCTGTTGGAAACGGCTAAGGCACTTCCCCCAAACCTGAATAGGATTGTTAACTGCCAGGCAGCTCAGGGCATTTTATTGCCTCGTGTTGGCCAAACACCTGAACAGCTGTAGGCTATTTCCCAAACTGACAATGTTTCTGTACCATTTGAAACCTTACCCTTTGAAGTATATATATCCACCTTGCCTTAGGACAAATTATATTAAATAAATAGCATGGGTCCTTAGTCTTCAGTTCCTTTACCTGAAGATCCTCTGACCCCAATGCCTTTCAAAATTATCTTTCGTTTTTGGACTCCTTCTTGAATCTATGCATCAGCCCTTCCTCCAGAATGCTGAACCCTTTGTAAGGCTGGGACAAGAACCCTGGTCATCCTTGAACTACTTCTAATGGAGAAATAGAATGCTTCTAAAGTTTCTCTACTGAGAATATTGTTTGTTCTGGGGTTTTGGTTGAAAACAATAATCAGGTTCAGAATATTCCCTTCTACTTCTACTCTGCCTAGAGATTCCCCCTCCCTCTATTCTTATCATTAATGTTGAATTATAGTGAATGACTTTTTTTTTTTCAATTTGGCATATATTGAGATAATCATTGGGTTTATTTTTTTAAATCTGTTACTATGATGAATTATATTACTATATTTTTTAAAAAAATTCTTCCTTGATCATGGTGAATTTTTAAAATACTGCTAACTTTTATTTAAAATGTTTGCCTCTATGTTTCTGAGATTGATCTCTCTTTATTTTTAAAAATATATTTTTTTATTAATTTTGGAAAGCAAGAGAGAGATAAAAACATCAATGATGAGAGAGAATCATTGATTGGCTGCAATTTATATTAATTTTTGCAACTTACATCTTTCTAGGAAAATTTTCATTTCATTTAAAAAATATTGATATAAAGTTACCATACTATGACTTAAAAATATTCTATGTATCTGTAGTATCTTTTTTATTTAAATATTATTTATTTGTGACTTTATTTAAAAAGTCAGCTTTTTTGAGAGCTTAATTGGAAAAATTGGCAAAATTGTAAGATATTTTAAGTGTACATTGTAGTGATTTGATATGTGTACCCAGTGTGAAAGGATGTCCTCCATCTAGTTAGTTAACATGCCCATTACCTCACATGTTTAACTTTTCCTTATTAGTGAGAACATTTAAGTTCTACTCTCTTAGCAGATTTCAATTATACAATACATTATATCTACTATAAACTATAGTTACCATGTTTCACATGTGATCCTCAGGCATTATTCATCTTATAACTGAAGGTTTGCATTCTTTTACCAACTTTTTACCTATTTTTCCTACCCCTTTATATTGTGAGCAATTACTTTTCTATTCTGTTTCTATGAGTTTAATTTCTTTTTTAAGATTTCACATATAAGTGGTACCATTCATTATTTGTTTCTCTGTCTTATTTCACTTAGTATAATGCCCTCTTGATTCAGCCATGTTGTCACAAAAGGCAGGATCTTTATTTTTTAGTTTATATACATATACATATATGCATATATCTTTGATATACAGCTATCAACATCAATACCTATCTATCTATCTATCTATCTATCTATCTATCTATCTATCTATCTATCTATCTATCTATCAACAGATGCTCATGTTATATCCACACCTTGGCTATGTGCATAATGCTGCAATGAACATTGGGTACAGACGTCGCTCAAGATAATCACTCTGTTTTCTTTGGATAAGTACTTAGAAATGGGATTGGTGGATCATATGGTCGTTCTATTTTTAATTTCTTGAGAAACATACTTATTGTTTTCCATAGTGGCTGTACCAGTTTACATTCCCACCAACAGTGGACATTGGTTCTCTTTTCACCACATCCTTGCTGGCATTTGTTATTTCTTGTCTTTTTGACGATAGCCATCCTAACAGGTGTGAGGTGATGGTTCACGGTGGTTTTGATTTGCATTTCTCTGATGATCAGTGATGTTGAGCACCTTTCCATGTCCCTGTTGGCCATAAGTTTGTAGTCTTTGAAAAAATGTCTATTCAGGTCCTTTGCCCATTTTTTAATTGGGATATTTAGTTTTTGCTATTGGGTTGTATGAATTTTTTTATATACTTTGTATATTATCCCTTTATCAGATATGTGGTTTGTACATATTGTATCCCATTCCTTAAGCTGCCTTTTCATTTTGTTGGTGTTTTCCTTTGCTGTGTCTGAAGAGTTTTAGTTTGATATAGGCCTATTTGTTTATTTTTTTGTTGTTGCCTTTGCTTTTGGTGTTATATCCAAAAATCATTACCAAGACCTTACCTCCATATATTTTTTTCTAGCAATTTTATAGCTTCAGGTCTTATGTTTAAGTCTTTAATGAATTTTGAGTTAATTTATGTATATAGTATAAGATAAGGATCAAGCTTCATTCCTTTCTCTCTCCTTGTGAATCTACAATTATCTCAAATTCAAAAGTTTAATTAGTCCTAGCTGGTTTATTTCAGTGGTTAGAGTGTCAGCCTGCAGACTGAAAGGTCCCAGGTTCGGTTCTGATCAAGGGCAGGTATCTTGGTTGCGGGCACATCCCCAGTAGGAGGTGTGCGGGAGGCAGCTGTTCTATGTTTCTCTCCCATCGATGTTTCTAACTCTCTATTCCTCTCTCTTCCTCTCTGTAAAAAAAAAAAAATTAAAAAAAAAATATATATGTATTTAAAGTTTAATTAAAAAAGACACACCAGTAAGAATATGAAATGCCAAGTCATAGAGTAGGGATAATTGTTTGCAATTCATATAACTGATAAAAGATTAGTATCCAGAATTTATAGTTAATTCCTATAAATAACTAAGAAAAATAAATACAACTTTTTTTTTCTTGCACCCAAGAATATATTTTCATTACTTTTTAGAGAGAGTACAAGGGAGGGAGGGGAAAAAAAGGGGGGACGGAGAGAGATAGAAGAAGAAGAAGAAGGAGGAGGAGGAGGAGGAAGAGGAGGAGGAGGAGGAGGAGAAGAAAAGAGAGAAACATCAGTTAGTTGCCTCTCCTGTATGCACCCTGTCTGAGGATGGGACCTTCAGCTCATGTGCACAGGCCAAAGCCCTAACCACTTAGTCACACTGGCCAGGGCTACAATGCATTTTTTAAAAAAAGAGGTTAAAGTTTTAACTCACCTTTGAAAAGAATATAATCAAATGACCAGTTCACATCAGAAAACTGCTCAACATTATTGGTCATTGGGGAAAGAAAAAATAAACCCACAAAGAGATACCACAATAGACTTGTCATGATGGCTAAATTTTAAAAATAAATGAACCCCAAATGTCAAGTGATGACAAAGATATATGTTATCTTGAATTCTCATATACTGCTAGCAGGAAAATATATCAGTATTACCATTTTGGACAACAGTTTGGCAATATCTACTAAATCTTTGTATATGTTATCCTACGACTCAGCAATTCTACTTTTCATATGAATCCATCAATGGTACATACATATTGCATTCAAAGGCATGTACAAGAATGTTCATAGTAGTATTATTCCTAATAGTTCTATGGTATAAACCACTGGCATTCCCAAAATTAATAGAATGTATACAAAATTGGGACATATTCATACATACTCATTCATTCATACAGTCATACATATTTATCCTTAATGCCTCTCTTTCCCTCACTCCTGTCCATCAGTCAGTTCTCAGGGCTCCGCCTCCAAAATGTAACCTGAATTTGTTCACTTCCCTTCATATCTACTGATTTCCTCCTTCTCAAACCCACTATAACTCCTCATGGGATTTACCATAATAGCATTTTTACTAGTTTTCTTGGTTCCACGAATTCACCCCTATGGTTCATTATCTGTCAAACAGCCAGAATAATCTTATCAAAACATAAATCAGATCACACTATCCTGTTTAAAAGCAGCGTTTAGTTTCATTGATTGTTTCTCTTGTCCTCTTAGTCTCTATTTTCATTTATTTTCACTCTGATCTTTCTTAGTGTTTAATCATGTTTAACATGAAATCCTCAGACATTATTCATCTTACAACTAACATTAAAAAACAAACAAACCTAAAATATCAAGTGATCACAAAGATATATGTCATCTAGGCTTTCAGTGGGTTCTCATTGTAATTAGGATTAAATCCAACTCATCATAGTTTGAAAGGCTGCCATGCTGGTTCTGGTATAGTCTAAGATGTTTAAAAAGAAAGATCAGAAAATATATTTAGTGGTTTAAACAAGTTACAAGTTTTTTTTTCTCTCATACAAGAGTCAAAAGAAAGATGGTCTGAGGTTGTCAGGTCAACTCTGCCAAACTCAGCATGGAGTTCCCTCTATGGCTCCAACGTGCTTGCCCATCACTTCTACATCCCAGCTAGCCAGAAAGAGGAAAGGAAAAGGGGAGATAGTACTCCCTCTTTCATAAGGGCACAGCCCAGAAATTTCCCTTTCCAGGTGTGCTTACATTCTCACTGTCCAGAACTGGGCCACCTGGTACACCTCGCTGAAAGGAAGCCTGGGAAATGTAGTCTTTAGCCAAGCCAACCTGTGCCCACCCACAATTCTATTACTGTGAAAGTAGAGAAGAATGAATATGGAGAACTATTCATAGTCTCTGCTCTAACCTATATCATGTCATCCCTCTCTACCTCTCCAGCCTCATCTCCTTTTTCTCTCTCCCTTGCTGTTGGCCCTTCAGCCATACTAGACTTCTTGCTCATTCTCTCCTTAGACCTCAAGTCTTTTGTGCCTGTGCTATCCTATATCTGAAATGCTCTTTCCTAAGTCTTTACATGATTGGGTCCTTCTTATTTGGATCTAAACTCAAACCTCAGAATATCTTCTGAGAGGCATTCACTGACCCTTCCCTCACAAGCAAAGTAATCATCTAACTCTATAACCCATGTTATTTTATTTCTAATGCTTATCACTTACTTATTATTACTTTATTGCTTGTGTTTAAATTCTCATTTACTTACCTGGTTATTATCTGTACCTCCCACTAGAAGAATGCTAAGTACCACAAGAGCAGAAATGTCTGACTTTTTCTCTGTTGGGTTCTCAGGACCTAAATGCTACCTCAGATAAGGGAAGTATTCAACAACTATTAGTATTTGTTGAACAAATGAACTGATTTAGCCAAAACCCCTCATTTCAAAACTGGGAAAGCTGAGGTCCAGAGAAAGTAAATCACAGAATGCAATATGTTGATGATGTATCAAAGAAATTTATATAATTTTATTAACTAATGACAACCCAATAAATGTGATTAAAAAAATAAAAAGATAGCAAATGACTTGCCTGGAGTTCTGTAACTAAGTAGTAGATTCTGGCCAGTGCCTTTCCTGAGCACCCGATTCCATGTAGCCTCCTCTTTGAAGTCTTGTTTTAGCATCTCAAGCCCTCAGTAGTCATTGCTCTGAGCTCATACAGTGTTAGACTTTAACATCCCTTTGGTTTTTATCCTCTACTATTTGTATTGGTATTTATCCTTGTCTGTCTTGTTTTCCCAACCATACTGCAAGCCCCTTGAAAATCCCAACCTTCTAACACACAGAGAACTCAGGTATTCTACAAGGAGACTAAAGTTACTTTACTCAGTAAAGTGAAACTCAGAATGATTACAACTTTCCTCTTGTCTTACTATTGAAGGTAAGAGTTGGATACTGATGACTAGATTTGGGTGGGAGGTAGTTTCTTGTGTCCCCAGCTAAGCACACCAGCCAGGCTGTCTTACCGGCAGTTGCACTCTTATGTGATTCACCAAATTTATGCAGAGGAGCCGCTCTGGGTACGACGGGTGGATTCTGTAAGGTAATCTTTGCTGTTGGTGGAATCAATCCTCGTTCTATCATACTTAAAATCCCTAAAAAGGAAGGTTAGAAGAATATGAGTTTAACTTTAAGCATTTCCCCAAAGGCTGAGCTCTATACATTTCACAAGTGTAACTTACTGATTTCATCATCTTAATCCTTTGCATGAAAAAATAGGCTTATTTAGGATAAGCCTAAAGTTCTAATCCAAGAAAAAAAATGACATTTCCAATAATGGCAAAATGAAATAAACTTGTACTAAGATGATTTCATTTTAAGGTAGAAATATAATTTCAAAGCAAACTTCAACTTTTCATACTTATGACATTTTCAAGTATTGATAATATTAGAGGCCTGGTGTACAAAATTCGTGTGTGGGCGTGTCCCTCAGCACAGCCTGCAATCTCTCCAATCTGGGACCCCTAGAGGGATGTCTGATTGCCCAGTGGGATTGGGACTACACAGGCAGTCAGACATCCCTCTCACAATCCAGGATGCTGGCTCCCAACTGCTCACCTGTCTGCCAGCCTGTTCATCCCCTAAAAACTCCCCTGCCAGCCTGATTGATGCCTAACTACTCCCCTGCTGGTCCGATTGCCCCTAACTGCCCACTCTTGCCAGCCTGGTCACCCCCAACTACCCTCCCTTACAGGCCTGATCACTTACAACCGCTCTCCCCTGCTGGCCATCTTGTGGTGGCCATCTTGTGTCCACATGAGGGTGGCCATCTTGTGTGTTGGAGTGATGGTCAGTTTGCATATTACCTCTTTATTATATAGGATTGTTATTTCCTTTAAAATTCAGAGAAACCAGCCTGGTCAGCCTGGCTCAGAGGTTGAGCGTTGACCTACCAGTATGAACCAAGAGGGCACAGTTCAATTCCCAGTCAGGATACATGCCCGGGGTTTTGGGCTCAATCCCCAGAGTGGGGGATGTGCAGGAAGCAGCCAATCAATGATTCTCTTCATCATTGATTTTTCTATATCTCTTTCCCTCTCCCTCCCTCTCTGAAGTCAATAAAATACATTTTAAAAAAATAAAATAAATTTCAGAGAAATCGAACACATTTTAATAACTAGAGATCTTTTATTCTGAAAGAAGGAAACACTGTGTGCTTGAAACCATGCCCTTGTTGTTATAATGAGTCATATTTTAGAAGAGTTATTTTTGGACATTTTTCATGTCACCAGAATATGTGAATGCCTAAAGAGGTTATTTTAGTGTAACTGGGCAACACATTAGTATTAATGCAACTAATTTACAATTCCTGGAACTCATACTGTGTCGGCATGGCTGATGCCAAGGCTTTTTAAGGACAAGGTATTTTTAAATAAACAAACAAATGAATAAATCGACAAATAAATGAATAATTGAACAAAGCTTGCTGTCAGGGGCAAAGCTTTCATTAAGGTGGATCTATTGTATTGAAGCCAGAAACCCAGAGACTCTGGGAGTACTTGACAGAAACTTGTGATAGGGCTTTAGCTTCTTGTTGCTCTCATATAATAAGAAAAGTAAAGAACGTTGGGCCTCAAACTTGGTACCAAGGTGGACTAAGTTGAAGAAGTTGACACCCATCCTAAGAGGGACAACTATTGCTTCTATTTGCCTTCTGGCCTCTAATGACTATATTATGTTATTGTTAAGGGTGTTGTCCCTGGCCAGGATGCCTCAGTTGGTTGAGCATCATCCCAAGCACTGAGAGATGGCCAGTTCGATTCTCGGTCAAGGCACATGCCAGGATTGTGAGCTTGATCCCCAGTAAAGGAGGATGCAGGAGGCAGCTGATTGATGTTTCTCTCTCTCCCTTTCTTTTCCTCTCTCTCTCAAATCAATAAAAACATATTTTAAAAAAATGTTAAGGTGTGAAAGTCTAGTGTTTTAGGAACTCAGAAAAATGACTACTGAGGGATTGGTGGGCTAACAGAGACCACTTGGTTATGAAGAAATATTCAGTTTACTTACTTCAGAATCATCTAGGGAGAATTTCTTATCACAAATGCAGATTCCTGGGCCCTCCAAGGCCTGCCCAATTTTCTGCAGTCAGTGCCTTGGGATATGCATTATTGAATATGTACCCTGAAGTTTGAGAGCCACTAGAATTGAGGCCCAGTAACCTACCTTTTAAATAAGCACTCCAGGTCCTTCTTTTATACTCTGAAAACTTAAGAACTACTTACTGATCCAGAGTACAATTCCTCAAGCCCTTTTTGAAATGAATACTAATGCTTTAAATATTTAGACTAATTCTTTGTCCTCACAAATATTTTCCACCTATAAATATCAAATATCACTTCCAAGAACTACGCCTGTTTTGCAGATGTGAAAAGCAGAGCTCTTTCTCAGTATATTTTTATTATGAGAGTGAGGGTCATTCTCTGAAAATCCCAAAGAACAGAAGCAAGATTTTAACCCTTGCTTTAGTACAGGTTGAAGAAATTCACTTTAATTTTAGACACACACACATGTGATGCATTTACCATTGAAAATAAAAAGTTAAGATTATGGAATAAGAAAGACAGCCTAATAAGTAGCTTTTCTTTAAAATGCTGGGCACCTCTATAGAGGATCTGACCGTATAATCACCTTTGGTTTTACCAATAGTTAGTCTGCTTTATAATTCTGTAGACATTAAGGCTAATTTATAGAAAACTGAAAGCAATGCAAATAATTCTTGTTTATACACATGCCAATAAATCCTGTCACATGGAGGGGCAATTCTCTCCCCAACCCCAAAAAGACAGTTGTGCACCTATTTGCAAATTTAATTCCATATTTTTATAAATGTGTCTGTTGCTTGGATTATCCTTTGAATCAATTGGAACGTTTTATTAATTTCCTCATTTAATTAATGAGTTAAATAACACTCAACCTCATTTTTTATTTGTATGAGTCATGATTTTACTTACAAATATATAAATAAAATATTCTTTAACGATTTTGGAGACCCCACTGAGATAAGCAAAAGATTCACCTAAAGTTGCCAGAAATGATGTAGCTCATATAGAACGAAGCCCAGGCACACGTTTTTCTTGGCTTCCACGGGTGAATTCAAAGTGGAAACAGAATTTCGTTGACTCTGTTTTTCTCATTTTAATGCTACTCCCTATTAATCCTGTGTTTTGTTTTTGGTTTTGGTTCATTTACAGCTGATAAGTTATTCCTGTTGTTAGCTAAAATGACTGGAAATTTGGTGATCTCTGTATATGGATTAATGTCTTCTGCTCCCAGTTGAGTGAGAAACAATGGAGAATATAGTTTGGTAGTTTTTTGTTCGTCTATTTGTGTTTTTTGAGCACAAAAAAATTAGGATTTTCATGCCCACAAGAAAAGAGAATAACTGATATTTGGACCATTAAGTTTTTGTGTTTCTGTGTTTATTTTTATCTGTGTATGAAATTGTAGAATGGAAGAGATAGGCTTTCTCTGTGTCTATACAGTAGGTCTTTGTATCTAAAATTCAGAAAGGCTTTGTCTCTCACTGCAAATGCAATGTTTTCCTGTCTCCAAATGGTGTTAATCAATTAGATTGTAAAATCTCTTAAATTAAAGGAGGTCTGTTCTGATTGACTTACAGAGGAAAATAATGCTTATGTAATAAATGTTCCTAGAATTCCCCCAAAATAAACTTCTAATACCTTAGATGTGACCCCTCACTTTACAAATTCAGACACTCTCATTGAGTCTCCTTACATTTTTAAAAAGTCCTCACCTGAGAACATGCTTAGTGAGAGAAAGGAAGGGAGAGAACGAGAGAAAAACATAAATCCATAAATGCCCCCAACCAGAGATTGAACCCAAAATCCAGATAATACCCTGATTGGGAATTGAACCGGCAACCTTTCGGTGCACAGGATGATGCTCAGCCAACTGAGCCACTCCAGCCACGCAGTGCCTCCTTACTTCTAATGGCAATATAGTTGTTTGCATAGTGTCAATACGAATCTGTTTTTCTTTTACTAAGATATAATTAGAAAAATTGGAATTTAATATTTAAGAATGATGCTTATTAATCAGGTATAATACATCACTTAAAAAGAACTAAGGTTGACTTCATGATGCCAGTGCTTACAAAGCCTCCCAAACTGGCCAGTTACAAAGTTTACAGGTAAGGACCACCCATTGGCAGGCCTGAGACCCTTTAGAAAACTTAAAGTACCTCTGAGAGAGAGGAATTTACCCATAGGTCCTGTAGTTGAAATCGAGTGGACAGAGTTCCTTGGGCTTGATTTCTAGCCTCCGTAAAGTAAATAATAGAGACTTTTAAAGTTCTGTCTGAATTCCTTCGGAAGACTTCCAGCAGAGCAAATTTGAAATGCCCTATATGGTGAATTAACATTTTCGCTACCCCTCTGTAAACAACCAGGCCAAACCCAATGAGACTGACCTTAGTCTGTGAACGTGTATATTTATATTTGGAGATCACTTGGATCATAATGGGGGAAGACTGTTAAGTAAAGTTTTTTTTTTTTTTTTTTTTTTTTTTTTTTTTTTTTTTTTTTTTTTTTTTAAGTTTTGGAATAAGCAAAAGAGATGGCTGAATGCCTTTTCAATGGAATGCTCAGCTGCCAGGGATTAGCTGAACCTCGACTCAGAGGATACTATTTTACAACTGTAGAGATTAAGGTTGACTTGCAAAAAAATCTGATAACAATGCAAATAATTCTATCCATAGGCATAAATGGGAATTCTGTCTGGTATAGGAACACCCCTCCTTCCCGTGGAAAAGCCAGTTTTGCATCCATTTGTGAATTTATTTCAATATTCTGGTCCTACACATGTGTGTTCTCTGGATTCTTCTTTAAACCAGTTGTGACATCTTACACATGCCCGCTTTTAATTGATGAGGTAAATAAAACCTTTGACATGTATGAGTCATGATTTTACATGTTGTTTTTTTAAAAATTATCTTTCAATACCCCTGTCTTATTAAATTTTCATAACACTCCTACTTTCCTGTTGAATAGGTTAGGAATTGAAAGTTCATTCATGATGTCATTCATCCAACCAATAGTGGTTGGAAGTGGTGTTAGAAGAAGTTTAAGTTTAAAAAATTTGGCTTTCCAAAGAACTTTCCATCGTTGTACTGTTGATATTTGGCTCTGTTGACTAATGAGTTTGCCGACCACTAATAGGAGCGTTAGTTGCTGAGCCAGAATTGAAACTCAGGTACCCAACCCCACCTCAGTTCTCTTTCCTTTAGATTCCTAGACACGTAATACGGTTATTGAGTCACTAACCTTTATTGGCATCTTTTTGTAAGACTGGCACCGGGGTGAAGTAGGGGTCCGTGCGATGAGAAGCTGGGAGAACCGTGAGGCTGGTGACCGTGGACCCTTTCATTAACTTCTGGACGCTCGCCTAGATGGTCAGAAATCTGTGTTCAGCAGACATGTTTGCTTTCAAAATGAAGTTTTCTTCTTGTAAACAATAAATAAGATTATGAATAGTTTCATTACGTTTTAATAAGGTAGCAATATCAGCTCCAATTTTATTGCTCATGAGTACCCTGTGCTATTGTCTACTGTGAGGAGTTTGTGTAATTTAAAATAGTTAATTAAATCCAATTAACATGTTGTGATTTCCACTATGCAAAATCAGTATAGTAGTTAATAAAGGAACATTAAGATTTTGTTCAATTTTAATGACTACGATATAAAAGTGCTAAATCTTGGCAGAAGAGGTTTTTGAATACAACAAACTTTTGTACTAGCAAATTTCCCAGGAAATTCATATTGGAGTTTTGAGGATTAAAAAAAATAATAACCTGGGAGAATTTAAAGATAAATACATCAGTCAACACTCAGATGAACTCTGAGTAGACTCTTGCAGCTCTCAGAATGGTGAGGCCATAGATCAGTTACAGAAGATGATTACTTTTCCTAAAGTCACAAAATGTTTTATAGTAATTATGAAACATGAATTGTTCCTATTAAATGATGTCTAGACTTAAAAGATTATATGTTTTGCATATGCTTGTATCACATTTAATTGTATAGCTCACTAACAATATTTTTACCTTTATTATGGGAGGTGATGAATTACGTGGGCCCTCTCAGCTAGGAAGGTGCAACTGTTTGATATTTCTAGACTGATTTAAATTTTCAAGTCACTTTCCAAACATAAATTAATTTGCATAGCTTCTAAGGGAACCAGGTAACGATTTGCTATTTAACCAGGAAATAACCAGGGCAGAATGGTTAGTAGATTTGTTCCCAGTCACATTGTATAGTTAGATATACACAGATATACACTCTTAAAATATACTGCGTACACTATGGATAATACATTCTTATAATTATACAATTTTAAGATAAATCTGATTTTACATTAGTGAAATCTGCCTTTGGACTTGGATGTACTGCACCTTATTGCTCATCAAGGTCATGGTGACCTTAAGGAAAAAGAAAGGGAAAATTTCACCAAGACTCTTGGGAGAAAATGATGTTACAAAACAAATACCTGTTGGCTGAAAAATGTCTGTGTGAACAAAGCTGGTAAGGCCCCATTGCCGTGGTGTGGTACTTAAGGGAAACTGTATGAAGCTACCATCCCATGCACCCCGAACCTTCTGATGCTGTTTGGCGAGGGCAGTTTAAAATGACTACAAATAGGAGTTTTTACAGGAGAGAGAGGGCTGTAAGTGCAACCTGTTTCCTTCCAGGTGAGCTGGAGGAGGAAAGGGAAGTGCTACCGGCCTCGCCTTCAGGAGAGTGAGGAGCCCTAAGCACATGGTGTTGTCATGGACCTGGGGTCCCATTGATCTGCCTCGGGCTCTTCCTCGTCTCCAGCTCTCCTGGTCTCAGCCCTCCTCCAGATATAAACACTCCCAAGATCTCCTCACCAGGGAGGCTGAGAGAACCACCCAGCGTGCTGTACTCCAGACAGGGCACATTCAGAGCTGAGGATGTTCAACACCCAAAATGGCAGGGTCTCCCCTCCTCAGATTGATAGGAAGGTCAGGGAGGCAAAGGTAAATCGGAGGAGGAAGGAAGAAAGATTCAGCTTAAATAAAATTGCCAAGCACTGTGAAGATGTAAAATATGGGGTTGACAGTTCCCGGGCACACAGCACAATTTATCTGGATTTCCCGAAAGCCTCTGACAAAGTACGCCTGACAGCCTGCTCTTGAAAGCTAAAGTGGCAGGATCCGACATGAAACACCATGTGGAGTATGACCCAGAGGACAGGGCAGGAGGCAGGTGACATTCTGATTCTGTCAGGCAGTCAGCACATTCATAACGCTGCTTCTTCCATTCTCCCAGCTCCATCAATCTCAACCATGTAAAAGCCGGACCCAAAGGCTATGCAGAAAAGGCAGTGCAGGGTGTGTGTGTGTGTGTGTGTGTGTGTGTGTGTGTGTGTGTGTGTGTGTGTGTGTGTGGTGTGTGTGTGTGTGTGTGAGTATGTGTGGTGTGTGTGTGTGTGTGTGTGTGTGTGTGTGTGTTTAGGGACAGGGAAGGGAGTTGATATCCTGGCGGGTTTATAGAAATTAATTCCGCAGACAGTGTCACTGGATGTGAAACCTGAGCCCCCTCACCCGTCCAGTTCCCATGGAAGAGGTAACCATGTCTGCATGTGCTTGGTTGGAGGGAGAAGGCCTGTAACAACCACATTGATTGAGCACTTACTATGTCACACTGACTGTAATACAATGAGCATTAAATTTCATGAGCACTGGAAAAGTGTAGGGCTGCGGGAGTGCAGAAGAGGGAGTCATTAGCTCTGCCTGCTGGTATGGCAGAAGGCTTTGCAGTGACTCTCACCCCTCACTGTATGTTAGAATCACTCAGGGAGCTTTTTAAAAATACTGCTGCCTGAGCCCCAACCCTGGCCTTTAAATCTGAAAAGCTGGGCTGGAGCCTAGACTGTGAGAGTTTTATAAAGCTCCCGGGTGATCCTGATGTGCAGCCAAGACTGAGATGTACTGCAGTAAGTGATACTTAAATTGCACCTGAACAGAAGCATTGACTTGTGTCACACGGAGAGGAGGGCGCCATTACATAGATAGGAAGAACGGTGGAGACAAAGTGAAATAGCACGCAAATGCATGATGTTCTTGTTGAAGGTGAGGCGCTCGAGGGGCTGGAGTATGGTGTGTGTATCAGGAGGGCAGGTCTGGTGATGAGACTGGAGTGCTAGGTAGAGATTCATGTAAGTTAAAAATACCAGCTTTCTGATGGTGAGGATTGCCTAACAGAAGTCGAATATCATCTCCTTCGGGCTGCTCCTTTATGTCATGCTTCCCATTTTATGCCGGAATCATGCTTTGGAGTTTGTATAATATGGAAGACCACATTATCAATGAATCATGTTTTAAATAGAACACTGTCCCTTCTCTCTGGTAGTTTATTACTGTTTCCAAAACTATAATTCATAACTCTATCACTCTATGCTTAAACCGTCTACAATAGCTTCACATTTTTTTTAATATTTAAAAAACACACAAAAGCTTAAAGAAAACAGCAATTACTTTCCTGTCAGCCAGAATTAATCATTGTTAATATCCTGGTGTATTTGCTTCCAGTGTTCTCAAATAGAAAAACCGTTTTATTTTATTATCCTAGTAAAAATGATAGATGTTCATTATAAAGGTTCCATATAATACAGTAACACACTAAGATACAAGTTTAAGAACCGCATTAGGTGACCCATTATTCTTGACATCTCTGGAATAACTGATATATTGTTTTATTAAAAAATTATATTTATATTATATTTTAAACTTAATTTGACATGAATTTAATAGAAGGGGAAATGACTGAATTAAACCCAACAAATTATTAAACCTCCAATATTTCTTAACACAGATTCCTGTGAGTTAAAAAAAGACTTCTCTGCAAGGGCTGGCCAGTTTTTTATTTAAGGGCCAAATATTAAGTATTTTAGGCTGTCCAGGTCCATTGTGTAAGCAAAAGGGTGAATCTATGATTCAATAAAACTTTATCTACAAAAACAGTTGGTCAGACCTCAGGCGACACTTTGTGGATCCCTGCCCCTTCATTACACACAGGTGATTATGAAAAACATTTCGATTTTTGAAACCACATGGTTTTATTTTAGATGATCCCAGCTTCAAAAAATGAGAACATTCAAACTCTCTTGCTGCTCCCATCTCCCCTCCCTGACCTCCCATTTGGTATTATATTAGTAATTTTACACTGTCCAGTTTATAGGATTCACATTATTTGAAACCATAATTGTTATGATTGTTTAGTATTAATTCTACCTGCAAATGGATCCAATGCTCACCAACAGGTTTTTTTTGTCCTGGTTTCTCTTCAATTGACTTCTTTATTTTGATTGTTTTCTTAATTGCCTGGCTTTGGTTATCAAGCAGTTTTTCCCAAGTGTTCAAGGGGATTGTACTTCTCTGATCCCTTATACTTCGGTTACATCTGAGGACATCCTTTCTTTTCTCAAAACGTGGTAGATACTGTACCACTGTTATGAAATCTGATGCCAGCTTTATTTTTTACCCCTTTGTAGGCGATTTTTTCTTTCTGCTTGAATGTTTGAAGCGTTTTTTAATTATTTGAAGTTCAGGTATTTAACTTAGGAAACATCTTCATGTTAAATATTTTAAATAAAATTTTCTTGGGATTCAGAGCTGTTTTTTCCAACTACAGACTTAGTTCTTCTGAAAAAATTTTTCTTACATTTTATCTTTGGTACATCTCCTTCATCTGCCGAGTTCTCTGTTTTAGGGACACCAAGTGCCTCTAAATGTTGATTCATCTTTATCTCTCATATTGTGATACCTAACTACTCATTCTCTCCTGGTTCCTTTTAGAATAGAACACCCTATGTTTTAGCTGAGCACATGCTATTCAGTTCCAGACTACATTTCCCACTGTCCCCTGTGGCTAAATGTGGACATGTGACCCCATTCAGACCAATAAGATGTGAGTAGGAGAGAGAAGTATAACCTTTGGAACATTTAGAAGTTCTTGCCTCATCTTTATCCCTTCTTTGGGCATAGAGAGAAGCCATTGAAACGAAAGTGTCTGTAAACACAGAAATGAGGAGATGATGGAGTATCAAGTTAGCAGGAGCCATATCTTGGATAACTTCACGGAGCAGAGCTGTTCTGCTAGCCTTGAATTTCTCACCTGTGCACTATTTTGTGAATGAGAACTGAACTAACTCACACAAGGTGTTATATGTTTCCATTTCTTTGTTACAGCAGCTTAGCCTGTTAACAAACTAAAATACATGTGTATTAGCTTTTAAGTAATTTCTTTTATTCTCCCTCTGCATTTATTGTGCTCTACAGTCTTTTCTTCATGTCAATATTTCAATATTCAACAGTGTTAGTTTTTCTATTTATAGTTTATTAGTTCCATAAAGCATTTTGGTAT